GTAAGCAACGTTTATGGGATACGGTCACAGTGTAAACAGTGTTTAGGAGATACGGTCACAGTGTAAGCAGTGTTTAGGTGATACAGTCACAGTGTAAGCAGTGTTTAGGAGCTACAGTCACAGTGTAAGCAGTGTTTAGGAGATATGGTCACAGTATGAGCAGTGTTTAGGAGATATGGTCACAGTGTAAGCAGTGTTTATGGGATACGGTCACAGTGTAAGCAGTGTTTGGGTGATACAGGCGTTTAATTTTCCATAGTCACAGTATTTATGGTTACCTCATAAGGATTACAGTCAATCACCTGCCTAAGGTTACCTACCTCTGAATTAGACCGTGATCACAGTACACAGTGTTGAAGTCGCTGTGCAAACAAGAGCAGCTTGTCACGTGCCAGATGCCACTTCAGTATTTATAAATTCAATACTCCACCCTGGACGCGAGCCTCAAACATGGGCTTCTTCATGGGCATAACAAACACAGTGCATGCAGACTTGCGTGCCACATACATACAGCAGACAGACACAAAGATTGTGAGTGACACACCAGCTTAAATATAAGAATTGGGAGTACTATACATACAGAATGGACAAAGAGACAGAGATTATAGAATTCAGCGACCGACGGATTTGGTTGCAGATGTGGGGCAGTCCCTCTAGCCGGGGTGCAATTTCTCATCCTTCTCTGGTGAATGACTAGATGGCTGCGGTTTCGTAGCAAAAAGCATGCCATGGCATATGATATCTAGGAAATAAATCTTTTTTTGTGAAACTAGGGTTGTACACATCTAACACACAGGCCACATGTACTGCATCTAATGCACAGCCCCCAAATATAATACACTGCCCCCCCACATGTAACACACAGCCCCTCCATCTAATACACTGCGTTCCCACATCTAATGCACAGACCCCAATGTAATACACTGCCCCATCTAACGCACAACCCCCATCTAATACACTGCCCCCCAAGATCTAACGCACAGCCTCCCCACATCTAACGCACAGACCACCCCAATATACAGCACAGACCGCCGCAATACACAGCACAGACCCCCCAATATACAGCGCAGACCCCCCAATATACTGCGCAGAGCCCCCATATACTGCGCAGACAGCCCCCAATATAATGCACAGACCCCCCAATATACTGCGCAGACATCTCCATACACTGCGCAGACCCCCCATTATACTGCGCAGACCCAACAATATACTGCACAGACCACCCCCCCAATATACTGAGCAGACCCTCCCAATATACTCTGCAGGACCCCACATGGCTGAGAGTGTTGGGAGCAGGGAGAGACTGACCTGATAGATGACAGGTTGCTCCAGATGATCAGACACCGTGCGTGCGCAGTGAGGGGGTAGGGAGATTTAAAGGGACACTATAGTCACCTAAATTACTTTAGCTAAATAAAGCAGTTTTAGTGTATAGATCATTCCCCTGCAATTTCACTGCTCAATTCACTGTCATTTAGGAGTTAAATCACTTTGTTTCTGTTTATGCAGTCCTAGCCACACCTCCCCTGGCTATGATTCACAGAGCCTGCATGAAAAAAAAAACTGGTTTCACTTTCAAACAGATGTAATTTACCTTAAATAATTGTATCTCAATCTCTAAATTGAACTTTAAAGGACCACTCTAGGCACCCAGACCACTTCAGCTTAATGAAGTGGTCTGGGTGCCGGTCCAGCTAGGGTTAACCCATTTTTTATAAACATAGCAGTTTCAGAGAAACTGCTATGTTTATGAATGGGTTAAGCCTTCCCCTATTTCCTCTAGCGGCTGTCTCATTGACAGCCGCTAGAGGCGCTTGCGTGCTTCTCACTGTGATTTTCACAGTGAGAGCACGCCAGCGTCCATAGGAAAGCATTATGAATGCTTTCCTATGTGACCGGCTGAATGCGCGCGCAGCTCTTGCCGCGCGTGCGCATTCAGCCGATGGGGAGGAGAGAAGGAGGATCGGAGGAGGAGAGCTCCCCGCCCAGCGCTGGAAAAAGGTAAGTTTTTACCCCTTTCCCCCTTCCAGAGCCAGGCGGGAGGGGGTCCCTGAGGGTGGGGGCACCCTCAGGGCACTATGGTGCCAGGAAAACGAGTATGTTTTCCTGGCACTATAGTGGTCCTTTAATCACATACAGGAGGCTCTAGCAGGGGATAAGAAAATCTTAATTAAACAGAACTTGCAATAAAGAAAGCCTAAATAGGGTTCTCGTTACAGGAAGTGTTTATGGAAGGCTGTGCAAGTCACATGCAGGGAGGTGTGACTAGGGTTCATAAACAAAGGGATTTAACTCCTAAATGGCAGAGGATTGAGCAGTGAGGCTGCATGGGCATGTTCTATACACCAAAACTGTTTCATTAAGCTAAAGTTGTTCAGGTGACTATAGTGTCCCTTTAACAGTGAAAGTGTCCATCAGATCTCCCTACCCCCATGCTGCGCACGCGCGGTGTCCGTATGTCAGGCTGTGCTGCATGGGTCGGCGCATGCGCAGTGTGGGGCAGGAAGATCGGATGGATGTTCGATATAAGAGATCTCCCTGCCCGCACGCACGGTGTATCCCGGCGACGGGAGTAGTTAGCCGTGCGTGCGCACTGGCCCGTAATATTTCCCTACCTTACACCCACTGTAACCGCCTGGTGAGGCTCCCTGCGCTTGCACAGTGTCAGCCGGTGTACAGCTGACAGGTTAAACACAAGCGCATTAGGTGGTCCCTACCCTGTTCTTTTGTGGCTGGGCGGCACGGCACACCTCCTGGGGAACGTGACATCCTGTGCGGGCGCGTCACAGGAAGTGACGAGGGTAGGGAAATCTAACGGGGTAGGGAAATTTGATAGAACACAGGCCACCACTTCTCATGATGTCAGCAGACAGCTTGTTTTTCTGAGGCAAACAGCATGCAGAGCTACAGCTTCAGGCTTGAATACAAGTTAGATGTTGCTATATTTATGGAGGCATTAGGGGCCCACGGGGGCTAGATGGTGGTTTTAACACTATAGGGGCGGGAATACATTATTTGTGTTCCTGACCCTATAGTGTTCCTTTAAGACAAAACAGCAAAATATAGCAGTCTGTTACATATACACTCTGTTCCAAATTATTATGCAAATTGTATTTAAGTGTCACAAAGATTAAATTTGTTTTTCAGTTTAATTCATGGATGGCATTGTGTCTCAGGGCTCTTTTGATCACTGAGAACAATCTCGGACACCTGTGATAATTAGATTGCCAGGTGAGCCCAATTTAAGGAAAAACTACTAAAGGAGGGTGTTCCACATTATTAAGCAGAGCACCATTTTCATGCAATATGGGGATGAAAAAGGATCTCTCTGCTGCCGAAAAGAGTGAAATAGTTCAATGCATTGGACGAGGTATGAAAACATTAGATATTTCACGAATACTTAAGCGTGATCATCACACTATTAAGAGATTTGTGGCTGATTCAGAGCACAGACGGGTTCGTGCAGATAAAGGCACATTGAGGAAGATTTCTGCCAGATCCATGCATTGGATCAAGAGAGCAGCTGCTAAAATACCATTACATAGCAGCAAACAGATATTTGAAGCTGCTAGTGCCTCTGGAGTCCACCAGACATCAAGGTGTAGAGTCCTCCAGAGTCTTGCAACTGTGCATAAACCTTCTATTCGGCCTCCACTAACCAATGCTCACAAGCAGAAACTGCTGCATTGGGCAGAAAAATACTTGAAGACTTATTTTCAAACAGTCCTGTTCACTAATGAGTGCCGTGCAACCCTGGATGGTCCAGATGGATGGAGTAGTGGATGGTTGGTGGACGTCCACCCTGTTCCAACAAAGCTGCGACGTCAGCAAGGCGGTGGTGGAGTCATGTTTTGGGCCGGAATCATGGGAAGAGAGCTGGTCGGCCCCTTTAGGTTCCCCGAAGGTGTAAAGATGACCTCTGCAAAGTATGTGGAGTTTCTGACTGACCACTTTCCTCCCTGGTACAGAAGGAAGAACTATGCTTTCCGTAATAAACCATCTTCATGCATGACAATGCACCATCTCATGCTGCAAAGAATACCTCTGCATCAATGGATGCTATGGGGATAAAAGGAGAGAAAGTCGTGGTGTGGCCTCCATCCTCCCCTGACCTCTATCATATTGAGAACCTTTGGAGCATCCTCAAGCAAAAGATTTACAAGAATGGGAGGCAGTTTACATCCAAACAGCAGCTCTGGGAGGCTATTCTGACATCTTGCAAACAAGTTCAAACAGAAACTGTCCAAAAACTCACAAGTTCAATGGATGCAAAACTTGTGAAGCTGCTATCAAATAAGGGGTCCTATGTTAAAATATAACGTAACCTGTTAAAATGTTTAAAAAGTTAAAATGTTGTTATAAGTTTGATTTAAATAGCTTTTGATTTCAGTAAATATGCTGCAAACATAACAAATGACAATTTTCAGTTCTTTACAACCTATAAAGTGTTTTGAAACTTACTGTGCGTAATAATTTGGAACAGTGCATTGTAAGTTTTTTATGTTTTAAAAAAAATACTGTTATCATTAGGAGGTTTGTTCAATAAAATTTGAATTGTACTCTTAATAGTTGATAACATGAGAATTATGCTGACTGTTATTTACATGAATTATTTAGGTAAATGAGAAAAATATCATTTGCATAATAATTTGGAACACGGTGTATATATCTTATGAGGCAACATTTTAGTACTTTATTGAGCTCATTTGCATACGCCTTCACAGAATCCCTTGCAGTAGTGAGAGCACAAAGTGAGATTTCTATGAGAAAAGCAAGTCTTATGGCTTGACTGGTGTGTGTATTTGTGTTTAGCAATGTATTAGCTATATATATATATATATATTTCTATTTAATATGTTTTATTGATTACTTTTATTTAATTTTTCTTTTTATTTATTTTATAAATACATTTGCATTTTTTCTTTTTCCCCCCCTTTTTTTTCACTTTACATTATTTTACCCCTGTTTATCACTTAATTCTTACATGGTTACATTGCGTCCATCAAGTTCAGCCTTCCTCACATATGTTTTCGCTGTTGATCCAAAAAAGGCAAAAAACCCAGTCTGAAGCACTTCCAATTTTGCAACAAACTAGGAAAAAACTCCTTCTTGACCCCAAAATGGCAGTCAGATATCTCCTTGGATCAAGCAGCTTTTACCCCACAAAATAGAAATGATATCCCTGTATGTTATGTTTTTTGAAGTATTTATCCAATTGCTGTTTAACCCTTTAAGGACCAAACTTCTGGAATAAAAGGGAATCATGACATGTCACACATGTCATGTGTCCTTAAGGGGTTAAACATCTGTATGGACTCTGATAAAACTGCCTTTTCAGGCAGATAATTCCATAACCTTATAGTTCTTACTGTGAAAAAAAACTTTTCTTTGACTTAGATTTAGTCTCCTTTCTTCCAGCCTAAATGCGTGACCTCGTGTCCCATTTACAGTCCGGTTTATGAATAGATTTCCAGATAATGGTTTGTACTGGCCCCGGATATATTTGTATAATGTTATCATATCTCGGACGTGCCGTTTTTATAAACTAAAGAGATTTAAATTTTTTAACCTTTCTTCCTAACTGAAATGCTCTATTATCAATTTTGTAGCTCGTCTATACACTTTTTCTAGTGCCATGATATCCTTTTTTAGAACAGGTGCCCAAAATTACACAGCATATTCAAGGTGTGGTCTTACCAGTGATTTAGAAAGAGGCAAAATTATATTTTCATCCAGAGAATTTATCCCCCTATTTATACATGACAAAACCTTACTCACCTAATCCTTCTCGTGTGTGGTGATCCCTAATTCACTTCCATTTAGGGTGTAAGTTGCTTGTGCAGTCTTGACCCCAAAGTGCATAACTTTGCATTTCTCTACATTAAATTTAATCTGCCAATTTAGTGCCCAGTCCCCCAATATATCTAAATCCCTCTGCATCAAAGCAATATCCTGCTCACATTTTATTACTTTACAAAGTTTTGTGTCATCTTGAAACACTAAAACCTGGCTTTCAATGCCTATTGCAAGATCATTTATAAATATGTTAAATAGAAGCGGTCCCAAAACAGAACCCTGAGGGACACCACTTAACACTTTTGTCTAGATTGAAAATTTACCATTAATGACCACTCGTACTCTATCTTTAAAGCAATGTTCTACCCAAGAACAAGAATATTCATCTAGACCAATTTCTTTTAATTTGAAGACTAACCTATTGTGAGGAACCGTTTCGAATGCCTTGGCAAAATCCAAGTAGATCACATCCACTGCAACACCCTGATCTATACTTCTACTTACTTCTTTGTAGAATACAATTTGGTTAGTGTGACATGACCTATGTTTCTTAAAACCATGCTGATGATAGCTAATAAAGTTCTTCCCAATGAATTCCTGAATATTATCCCTTAATAGCCCTTCAAATATTTTCCCTGTCACAGAAGTTAAGCTCACAGGTCTATAATTTCCAGGCAAGGATTTTGAACCCTTTTTAAATATAGGAACGACATCTGCCTTCCTCCAATCCCCTGATACAATACCTGAAACAAAAGAATCTTGAAAGATTAAATACAGAGGTTCACATATTTCCCCACTTAGCTCCTTAAGTAACCGTGGGTGAATACCGCCAGGCCCCGGTGCTTTATTTACATTAATTTTCTTTAACTGCTGTAGCACCTTGTCTCTATTACCTTATACGTATTTCTTTGCCTTGCAAGCATCTTTTTTTTAACATTCTTCCTTTCACATACATATATTTGGTCCTGCAAGTATTTCTATTAAGCTGCGGGCAGATTTTGTTGGAGCCACATCTTATTTTTACTTACCCCCAACCCCTTGTTCTAGGCCTATGTATAGCCTACTAAAGCTCTTGATCTCTTTTTTCCCCCGCGCCTCTTACCACACTTTAGGTTCGCCTCATAGTGCATTTAACTTGTCAGCACCGCCATTTGTTTTTTGAGCTGCATCTTACTACTACTATCCTCAGCCCTTGTTATGGTCTGTCCCCACACTTCTTTGTAAACACATTACTGCATTCACACTAATGTAATTAAGATATGTAGTGTACTTGATTACTAGCCCAGGTCCATGCTGCTATTGTCTGACTTCAGCTCACTGTGCTATTTGGGAGGGGTTACATTGGAGGACATGAAGGGGAACTTTGTGTTCCACTGTAACCCTACTGTATGTAAATGAGTCTGTTGGGAGTATAAATAGATGTGTTGTTTTCAATAAAGGTTCTTGTTTTTCCTTTCACTACGTGTTGTCTAGTGCTTGGGGAGGTGGGCTATGATCACTGAAACTGCATTTCTTCCAGCCTGAAGGAACTTTAGTGGAGATACTCAGCCAGAGTATTGGAGCTCCGCTACATTTGGTGGCAGCGGTGGGACACACTCTCTCCTGGGAGAATCACTAAATGAGAACCACTGAAAGCTGAAGCAGCCATGATATTTAAATTCAGGATTTGACTATGGGAAGTACTTAATCTGCTTAACAGACCAAGAAGCAAAGCTTGAGGCTTAGAACGTGGATCTGCTTGGAGCTCTAGGAGAAAGCTCACCAGTTTGAGAGAATATGCAGCAACAGATATCTCTCCACTATGGAGCAGCACATTTAGGATCAAATAGAGTGGTGGATTCAGTTTCTGGAAGAGCAGTCCCTGGATGAACTCAAGATACTTGTCAGGACAGAAGTGTGGCTTCACGAGTCTTAGCAGGCCTTGCATTTGCATGTGATCCAGCTACAGTATCTCACAAAAGTGAATACACCCTTCACATTTTGTACATATTTAATTATATCTTTTCATGTGACAACACTGAAGAAATGACACTTTGCTACAATGTAAAGTAGTAGGTGTACAAGCTGTACAACAGTGTAAATTTGCTGTCCCCTCAAAATAACTCAACACACAGCCATTAATGTCTAAACCGTTGGCAACAAAAGTGAGTACACCCCTAAGTAGAAATGTCCAAATTGGACCCAATTAGCCATTTTCCCTCCCTGGTGTGACTTGTTAGTGTTACAAGATCTTAGGTGTGAATGGGGAGCAGGTGTGTTACATTTAGTGTTATCACTCTCACACTCTCTCATACTGGTCACTGGAAGTTCAACATGGCACCTCATGGCAAAGAACTCTCTGAGGATCTGAAAAAAAGAATTGTTACTCTACATAAAGTTGAACAACAAAGTAATGGGACAGCGCTAAAAAGTCAGTAGAAGCTAAAGGGCAAATGGGAAAGCAGCAACCTATAAAAATGAGGTTCCCTCTCTATTCCTCAAATAAAAGGACAAACAAAAGAAAATATATAGGTAGCGCTATAGGTATAGTAGATAAGTATAAAATGGGATAAGACAAGTGTATAGATAAACAGGAAAAATTATCCCAATACTGAAAAGTCTTTAATAAAACCTGTGACGATTCTGGAGTCTAGAAAAAGTCCAAAAGGTAGCTGGATCTTCTTATGTTGAAGGTGTCTCAATTCGGTGTAGGATATATGGGCATGTAAGGAAAACAGAAAGACTCCAATAGTGCAGATTATAATTCAGCAAATAGATAGATAAAAAATTCTCATAGCAGATGGTCCACTCACCTATTTCTGAGCATGAACTTGCTCAAGTGGTAATAGCATTCAGTGGTGTTGATCCTCCACTGGTAGGATATAGGTGGTGAAAAATATGAAGAACTCCTCGGTATGTGGAGAGATGGAGAAACAGTATAGTGCTCACTGAATAAGTGAAAACGGTAAAATAATAAGAGCAGTAAAATACTCACATGTATATGAGCAGGATATACTGCTCACTTTGGTAGCGTAGGTGGTATTATCCCCACCTGGGATTCTTGAGCATATGCGTATTCCGATATAGCAGGTACCAGGTTTCAAAACAAAAGATGATATTATATAATAAAAAGATATATAAAAGCTAATAAAAAAGCCAATATAACTTTATTAATAATAACAGAGTAGATAAATCTATAACAAATATAAAAACAGCCAAAACGCGTTTCGCCTCTCAGGGCTTTTTCAATTGGCAATAAGAAAAGAAACAAACTGGTACATGAATGCTTTTATAAACTTTCTGGGCATATGCAGATTTAAAATTTGGCGCCAAAATGACGTCATCATTAAAACACAAAAATACAAAGAAAAAAACAAATGTTAAGAAGATACTTAATATAATAACACAAAAGTTATTATGATTATATGTCATAATTAATATTTTGAAAACGAGCATTGGTTAAAATAAACAATACAATATTAAGAAACAATAAAAACACGTGATCGCGCCGTCGCGCGGTCACGTGGTGCAGCTGAATGGACTTATGGGGACTGTATGCTAGGCGTCTGTAATGATCGACGCCAGCAGAGTGAGGCAGGGAATACTAAGAGAGACACGTGACCGCGAGCTACCGCGGTCACGTGGTATGGTGAAAACGGACTAAGGGAAATGTATGCTGGAAACAGCATACTAAGCGGCAACACATTGGGCGAATAGAGAATAACATCCACGTGATCGCGAACAGCCGCGATCACGTGGAATGTAACAAAGGAATAATGACAATGTAATTTAAATAGAAAACAGCACAAGGCATGGTCCCAGCATGTAAAGACCAGACATTAGAATGTAAAGTAAACAGTGCTGGTCATATAACATTGTGTATATGCTTGATAAATAAAAGGTGTCTGACAAAAATTAATATTAATAAGCATATGGTAAGACAGGATTACACCTACTTAGGGATGGGTATATTAAAAATGGTAATGCACAATAAAGATTGAATAAATAAATAAATAAATAAAAATTTTCTATTTTAAAGAAAATGTAATGTAAATAATGATTATATTATAAAAAGTTAAAAAGATCAAAATCTGCATTTAGACCATTGGGACAGAGAGTTTTTAATTGAAAAACCCAATTCATCTCTCTTTTCCCTAAGATTTTTTTCATGTCCCCACCTCTCCAGGGCATGGTAACTTGTTCTATTCCAATAGCTTTTAAAAATCTTGGGTCTTTGTTGTGCATTAAAAAATGTTTGGAGACTGAATGGTTGTCGTAGCCTTTTTTAATATTGCGACAATGTTCAGCTAGGCGTGTTTTTAAGCATCTTGTTGTCATGCCTATATACTGAAGTCCGCAAGGGCATTCTAGTAGATATATAACATTCTTAGTGTTACAGCCAATAAAATCTTTGATAGGATATGATACCTTTGTGATGGTGGATGAAAAGTCGGTAGTTTTGGTGTTGATGGCTGGATTTGTAGATTTACATACAATACATTTGTTACATTTAAAAAAACCCTTTGGTTTAAACATAACATTTTCTTTCTTTAAAATGGTAGTTTTAGTATAATT